AGAGATGCATCTTCTCCCTGTAGTGCGTGTTCTACCATAACTGCACGGAGCACATCCTGAGGCGGGAAATTTTCGACCTTTCCGTCCCGTATAGCACGTAGGAGAGTACTCTTCCCACTTCCGTTCGGTGCAAGAATTCCGTACCTTCTACCGCGGATAAGGCGGAGAGTGGTGTGAGAGAGTAACAATAAAGCACCGTAAGCAAGGGAGAATAAAGTTTCGCAAAGAATCTCTCCTTCTTCAGAGGAACCATTGGTATTTGTGGCGAATTGTGCCTTGTAGAGAGCGTAAAAATGATTCCTGATTGTCTCGGAGAGCTGAGAACCATCCGAGTCGTCACTTTGTCCATATTTTGTGATCCAAGGAGCAAGGTACTGCCCAATACATCTCTGCCATGTGGCCTTATCGTCGTATCTCTTGTTATTAGCCAAGTCAGCGACGAGATTGCCAACAAAATGCAAACAAATTTTGAAGCTATTGTGGAAAGGTTGAAGAGGCGTCAACGAGGTGAATAGTGATACTGGAAGGAATGGTGCCATTTCTCTCATTGACGACTCAATCTCGGCCTCGAGATCCCTAGGTAGTGGTGGAGGTGCTCCGGATGAAGCCCCAGCCTTGATCAAAGTCTCATGAGCGGCGGCTGCAAAGGCTCGTACTTCAGGGAACGAAGCCCCTTGCATAATTTTATCGACACCATCAACCAAGCCGGACAGGTATCGAGCTGCCACCTTGGGGTCGCGTACAAGCTTCACCAAATTGTCAATGACGATTACAGTCCTTCGCTGTACTTCCATACTTCTATCATTAAGGGCTCGATTGAGGAGAGGCACGAGCACCGCTAACGCTGGAGCTGTGACCTCTGCCACGAATGTGGTATTCGAGAGCGCTTTGATGCACGCGGGTACCGTCTCTGGGTTGGCCATGCATTTGACGAGGGCAGGAACATGCGGGAGAAGGTCGGGATTTGGAAGAGTTGAACATAGTGCCGTGCCACATTTTATTGCGGCCGACGATACCTCAGCTTTGGTGTCGTGCATCGCTTGCTCTATATGGGGCAGTGTATTGCCCAATTCTTCTCCTATCTGGTCCTTGTTTTGATTGGTAAGTGTTTTGATTGCATCCAAAATTCCGACTTTGGACTTCCACTGCTTGGTCTGCTTCAATGCGGCTTCTAAATGACGAAGCACCAAACCGAGAGCCTCAGGAGGGAATATTTTGAGTGTTGACTTGACAGCAGCTGTAGCTGCCTCTCTCACGACGTCTCCTTTGTCCATGTATTGGTCGAAGAGTGTGCCGAGTGATGGAAGTAGAAGCGGACCGGCTGGTATGCCGAGTGTAGTAGCAAGCGCCTGTAGACCCATAGCTCCGGATTCTCTTTCGTAGCCTGATTTCTTGTTCGTAGCGAATGCATGGAGGGTCTCGAGGATACGAGCATCGCTGAAAAAATAGTATGAGTAAATCGTCCATGAATGGTGGGTGCGCGAGAGTTGAAAAAATAAAAATAAAAATAAATAAAAACAATATCTATGGGATTCGGGAACGGAAAACGCCTATAAGGGATTTCACGGCTGCAGCAAAGTTCTTGGCCACATGCCACTTTTGGCAAGCACAGATGGCTGATTTGGCGATCCCTCCAAAAAATCGCGTAGAAGACCAAACTTACTGTAAAAGAGTCAAACCAAGCGTCTGAACTTGCTTTCCGAGTGCATTGGCTGCACTTTTAGCATCAGGCGCCGTTGGAGCTGTTCGAAGGCCTTCCAGTAGTGGCGGAATACTGTCTGTTGCTGGTATGTTGTTTGCCATCGAGATGAAGGGGCTATAATTTGGTCTTGATGCAGCAGAGAAGTCCTTGGAATCCGGTTTGGTCCTATCTTAGAGGTCTAATAGGAAAAAGGAGGGACTGAGCGACGCTGTACATTTTAACCACATTGAAATAGAGGCCTATTCTGTTCGGCGCGGTAAAGCAAGGATGAGATCCTTCTGGTATCGTCAAAATAATAAACTAAAATGACAACCTTCATTATGCTATCAATCCGGTCTAGGCTACTAGGCTACAGTAGGGACAAAGGAGGGTCAACGGTTGCTGCGAGCTATTCGTACATGGATGCATACAGTATCGAATTCTGGCCGTTGGGAGCCAATGATGAACTGGATATTACTCTCTCTTCGTAAACTGGCGCCCAAATATCTACCGGTCGTCCGGTCTGTTAAACGCGACACCGTAAGCATGATGACACGCTTGACCAATTTGCTGAATCACCTCACGTCACGTTTAGACAGCATTTCCTCAAAGAGGGAATGATTTCTCGCAGTGAGTTTGGTTTAAAAGGACCATCCTTTCTCCTGACCTAATCACAGGGCGCCTTCGACCGATAAATCTCTCCACCATTAGACCACTCGCGATCCTCAGTACTGCCCTCTTGCATCGTGCAATGTCAAACATGTGCGAGGTGCTGCCCACTACTCGACCAGAATGGCAGAAGGCTCTCGATAGCCTTCCAACTCCGTCAAGCACAATTCCGGCATTCTTCTTTGCCCATGGACGTGAGTAAGAATCGATTTCCGTATTATATATGGGAACTGATGTACATTTGATCACTAGAACCTATGCTAGTGTGGCCCAAGGCTATTGCACCCAGCAGCGGTCCCTTTGCAGCACTTTACAAGGACATGGGACCAGAGGGTACTCTTTCTCAATTCCTCCAAGACTTTGGCAAGACTCTCAGGTCAAAGTACGACCCAAGAGCCGTTGTGGTATTCAGCGCGCACTGGGAGAGTCCTGGTAAGCAAATCTTAGGCAAGTAGGTTAATAAGTACCGATGCCAGCTGCTCACCGTATATATTTTCTTTAGTGTCTGACTATGGTGCGGAGAATCCACTGCTCATGGACTACTACGGCTTTCCAAGAGAGGTTAGCATGTCCCTGACCGCAAACTCATAATATTGATCCTAGCGAGCAGCTCTATCAAGTCAAGTTCAAATCACGCGGTGATAGCAGTGTTGCCCAAGACGTTGTACAAGCACTCAAAGATGTAGGTCCCCCCCATATTTGTTATCAGCTTCTCAAGTCGACTTCTCCTAGGCGGGAATTTCCGCGCGAACAACCCCCATCACGGAGTCTAGAGGAGAAGATGGGAGAGGGTTTAGTGGCCCTGGCCTAGATCATGGTGTATTCGTGCCATTCAAGCATATGTTCGGCGACGAATTGGACATCCCGTTAGTACAGGTTTCCATCGACGGCAGCCTTGATCCTGCCAAACAATGGGCACTAGGGAAGGCTGTGAAGTCGTTACGGTACGTCTCAGTGTATTGTTCGACCCGTTTGATAATAATGTATTGACTTCCGTCTAAAGATCTCAAAAGATCCTCGTTCTCTCTGGAGGACTGACTTTCCATAATCTACGTGACTTCTCAGGCTTCAATTTGGATACTGCAAAGCCGGCACTCAAAGATTTCCACAACGCCATACTTTCAGCTTTGCAAATCTCAGACGTGAGTGATGGTGTCTCCGTTTTATGTAGCCCAAACTTAACCTGGATTCCTTTGAAACAGACTACTTCGAGGCAGGAGGCTCTATACGCCCTGACGAAGCATCCCGGTTTACGTGCAAGTCATCCTCGTGAAGACCACTTTGTGCCCCTTTACGTTGCAGCCGGAGCGGGTGACGGGGAAGAAGTCCGAATACTTGGCGCGATGTATGGGATGATTTCTGTAGCTTTTGGTTCTGAGTAGTTGGCTTGTCTGGCAAAGTCAGAGCAATATCCACCGGCATTAGCCTTTGTACTATATGCGTTTATGGTAAAACATCTAGATTGAACGGAACGGTATATGCGCTACATGAAACGCTATCAACAAAATAACCCCGACCAGACAGATCACTGGAGTGATACACAGCGCAGGGTCATCAGACAGTGTTAAGAACAGAGGCAACGAAGGATTCCAGATAAGCAGAAAGGACAGTGGTAGTGTCGACAGAGACACGGGTTAAAGAATGGACACAGTGGATTTGTGTAGGCAAGAACAGAGGACGATCATGATCGAGTACTGGGCCAGATTATAGCTGTTCCTCATAGATGGAAACACTTGGGTTCGGAAAAGATAGCTACACAGGTTCGCAACAGCCAGATATTGATGGAAAAGGAAACAGTTTCAGAGACGAAAAACCAAAATTTGTAAAGAATGTGACGGGGATCGGGGAACTCTAAGGCTACAGTCAAAAATCAAAAAAGTCAAGGGGGTATGCGCACACATCGAGTTTAAAAATCTTCTCGAAACGATACCGTTTGGACGCACAATAGGTGGTGTGGTGCTATTGGATATGTTGATATAAATTTGCCGAGTTCGCAGGGAGTTCTGTTGGATACAGTTTGCGTCAGTGATCAGAGTTGGGAAGCTGTGGCGAAACATCTTGCTAGGCCGATTGATCATGACGAGAGTCGTTGTTCGACAGAGAGGGTTGGATTTTCGGGATACAGAAGAAATTCGAAGAAAGAGAGAGTGAATGAAAAACATTTGAGGAAACCGAATAGAGCCATTTTGCAATTATTATTTAGAAGTCGGCGAATTGTGCCGCATAGGGATCATTGGCGTAAAGAGAAGCAGGTTCTCCAGCGAGTCCAGGGATGTCAGAGGCATTCACCATCGGAAGCCTAGAGAAGTTACGGGTATCGCCAGAGGACATGACCTGGGGTAGGATTGGTGCCTGATGTGGGAATCAGTATTGTGTCGCAAAGATGAGAAACAATGGGCTTACCCGGATCTCGCAGCGTTCCAATGCTCCCCAATCAACACCTCGGAACCATGGATGCATCAAAACATCATCAGAACCCCCAATGAGGTTGCCGAGGCGCTTGGTACGGTCGGGGTGCAAGAAGGCGCGAATAAGGTCTCTGGACAAGGGGTCGACATGCTGCGGCCAGGAGATCTTGCCCTGAAGAATCTTCTCATAGATTCCAAAAGCATTGTCGTCGTAGAATGGCTATCCGCCAAGGTCAGCGGCTTCCAATGTTTCCCAAGGACGCAACTTACCGGGTAACCAACAAGCATCTCGTAGCAGAGGATACCGCATGCCCACCAGTCAACGGCTTTGCCGTGGCCGTCGGATTGGATGATTTCGGGGGCGAGGTACTCCGGCGTCCCGCATAAGGTCCAGGTACGATCATCAACGACTTTGGCAAATCCAAAGTCGGTGATCCTGAGATAACCTCTGTGGTCCAACAGCAAGTTTTCCGGCTTAAGATCCCTGTAGATGATATTATATGAATGAAGGTATCGTAGCGCCAACACGATAATAGCCAAATAAAATCTTGTGACATCTGGACTGAAGCGATGGGCCCTTCTGAGATGAGAGAATAATTCTCCTCCAGGTACGTAAGAGAGGAGCATATATATGTTCAAGTTGTCTTGGAAGGTGGCGTAGAGGTCGACGATGAAAGGATGGCGGATTCTTGCGAGAATGAATCGCTCCGCGTTAACGTGCTCGACTTGACGAAGACGGACGACATCGGATTTCTTTAACACTTTCATCGCAAAGTGATGGGCGACTCCTGGTTGGTTACCCTGAGGTCGGAGCTTCACAAGCAACACACGGCCAAACGTTCCAGTACCTGTTGTCCGTATTCAGGAATGTCCATTAGCTGTCTCATTGAAAATAAAACCTACCAAGTGTGTCGACAACTTGAAAGTCCGAGAGTCTCAGCTCGGCCTGTTGTTCCTCCTCAGCTGGTACAACGTCAGAGTTTCCCTGAGAGTCGCTAGGCGCAGATTGTTGGGGGGGATGAGCTTCTTTGGGGTACGATGATCCCTCTTGATTAATAGTCTCTTCAACTTTGACTGCATCGACTAAAATATCATTATCATTCCGCCTCTCCTCGTATACCTCAGTCTCCATGCTTTCAGTAGGACTATGAGGCGGCGTCCATATGCCAGCCGCGAGAGTCGATTTCGCTGAACGAATAGACGAATATGAACCGCGGTGCTCAGCAACCGCTGCAGGTCGAAGTTGAGATTCCATGGAAAGCAAAGGAAAGGAAAGGTCTAAGGAGCGTGAGTTGGTCGGTGGTAGTCAATACCGGGGTTCACCCGCTATCAGCGCACCCGGGCTGTTCTTATATATTCTCGGAGAATTCGTTACTAGACACTTGAAATCTTGTAGATCTACTGACACGTGCATAGATACTATACAGGACTAACGAGGAACACAACTAGTCACCATGG